CCCAGGGGGACAGCTTGAGGCTCTGTCTCAAAAAAAAAAAAACAAAACCATGAAGAATTAAAAATAGGAATCCACCAGCTCTAAAAGAAAAACCATAAAGCCCATGCTTTTAAAGATCCAATGAGATGATGGATATTTATTATATTAAAACCCAAAATTATGCTAATTTGCCTAATGGTAGAAATTTTTCGGTTAGAGATTAAAGGAGAATCTGATAGTTCAGCTTGCCTTTTATAAGAAAAGTATATTTACCAAAAGATGTGTTAGTCAAAAGACAGCAAAATCTATAGGATTTTGCATAATTTGAATATGCAAATTGTTCATCTATAATGAATTATTCATTATTATGCATAATTTGAATATTTTTCAGATTTTATTTATCTAAGCAGTTCAATAAATCATTATTTACAAACTTTCTAGTATAAATTAAATTTCTCTGAAATTTACATGATCTTTGGTGACCATAATTTCTTTTTGTCACATTCTCAAAGATACCTTCCTAAGAAAGTTAATAATTGAGTACTCATAAAAGATAGCAGATTTGGGCGGCACCTGTGGCTCAGTGAGTAGGACGCCGGCCCCATATACCAAGGGTGGTGGGTTCAAACCTGGCCCCAGCCAAACTGCAACCAAAAAATAGCCAGGTGTTGTGGCGTGCGCCTGTAGTCCCAGCTACTCGGGAGGCTGAGGCAAGAGAATCGCTTAGGCCCAGGAGTTGGAGGTTGCTCTGAGCTGTGTGACGCCACAGCACTCTACGGAGGGCAACAAAATAAGACTCTGTCTCTCCAAAAAAAAAAAAAAAAGATAGCAGATGGCAGATTCATTCTCCCTCTGTACTCAGAATCCAAGGAGACTGTCTAATTGATTCCTATCATAGAGTTAAGTCTGTTCACGTTCAGAATGACATAATACTTTGGGGGAACAGTGCAATGTAATACTTGCTTTACTATGCTTATCCTTGCCCCATGTATAAAATGTGTTTCTAGTGATAAAAAAAATGTGGCTTTCATCCTATAAAGGTACATGTGAATCTCTCTAAGTGTAGAGTTTATTTATTTATTTATTTATTTTATTTATTTTTTATTTTTTTTGAGACAGAGCCTCAAGCTGTCCCCCTGGGTAGAGTGCCGTGGCTTTACAGCTCACAGCAACCTCCAACTCCTGGGCTCAAGCGAGTCTCCTGCCTCCGCCTCCCAAGTAGCTGGGACCA